ATCAGGCACAATGCTTGTTTTTTTTTTTTTTTTTTTACAAGAGATGGAATAAAGAGAAAATGTTTCCCTGGTTATCATAATAAATCCTTTAGTATCAAATAATAAACAAATAATTGCATTTCCACACTTGCTTTCCTGTCCTCTGACTCTGGCAGGGGAAATTTGTAGTAACAGGGGAGATTTTAAGGTCTGAAAAATGATTAAAAAGGGCAATTTTTCCTGGATATGTATTTTCTGACTCTGCAGTAATTTCCCTAAGCTGCCGTTGGACATGACAGCATTATCACTTTGCCTTTGACACTGTGCAAGATAAAGCAGTGGGGGCACCAAGGTCCAAATATGTTGCTTTTATAGGTAGGAGCTGTCCCATTCATCATGTGCTTACACCAAGAGCTCTCTGTAATCCCTGTCCATAAGTCAGCGAGGGGCAGGTATCTTCTGCCCTGCCACAAAGTAAACTGAGGATGTAATTTCAGGTCTGAGTGTCTGGAAAAACAAAAAGTTAAGACTTAGAAGAACAAAGATTGATGACGTGGGAATAATCAAAGGCGTAGAGACATAAATGAAAGACAAAAAGACAAAGAGTATCTTTCAGAAATCAGTTTATATAACAAAGTGGTTATTGTTTAGTATCATATTCCATTACATATTCTATGGAAGGACAGTGTGCATAACCATTTTGTTTTTTTTTCATGTTCTTAAGGATACAAATAAACTTAAAATGTTACAAATATAAATGTTTCTTAAGACAATAAAACATACTCAATGACAACAAGGAGGGTAGGCAGGGATATGGCAGCTTACACATCATGGTCAGACAGGGTTTGTCAACAGTTATGAGCGTCGTTTGTTGATACAGCCGCGATTGGTCTTCCACAAATCAATAGTAAGCACTCACAAAGTAGGAAAGAACTGGATATGTGGCAGCTGGAACTATTTACCAAAAGAAATACTTTGCAAATAGTACACTCTGTTAGTGGCAATGTTGTGTTCAAGCATCTCAAACAACTCCTCCTCAGCCTGAGCAGAATATCTTGTGAGGTAAAGTGCACAGTCTGTGAGTGTGAGTGTGAGTTAGACCGCAAACTTTTACTTTTAATTAAAGCGTTTGCCACCAATCAACACCAAAATGGCACCTGATACTTTTTTTTTTCTCAGATAAATCTTTCAAACATACCCCTGCCTCCTCTTTCTTACAATTACCATGAGCACAAGTGATATCACTGCATCAGGTTTGTTAGTCACAAGCTAAAGACAATGGGATGATCGGCCCAACACGTAGAGGCCTGTTTTCACACTAACATGATGGAACAATCAGGGTCTTTGACCCGAGACTCTCCTGCTATTTTCTATATAAACATAACTCTGATTATCCTAAAATATGGAATTAGGAGGGGAGGGGTACAACAATCACTGAGAGGGATGATGAGGAATGTTGTCATTGTAGAAGTTTCTCTTAATCTTAAGTTGTCTGTACTGTAGCTGCTTTTTATTGTGGGAAAAATAACTTTAGCCACTGCTTTGCTTTCCAGCCATTTCATCCATAGACCCTTTAAATGTTAGTAAATAGTATGATGTTTTCTGGTAGGCGGGGCTTAGCTGGAGGCAAAACAACTCTCTACAGACGTTAGCTAGCAAGTTCTGTTGGCTTGTTTCATACAATGGAGGAAGACGTGTGTGGTGCCTTTGGGGATACTCATTCCAAATGCCTGGGCGCAAACAAGACTGTGCGTAAATGCGGAGCGCTGTAAGAATGTACCGTTGGGTTATTCAGAGCACCACACTCTCGGAGTGGCAGAGTCAGTGTCTAGGGAGACGGAGCAGCAGAGTGCCGAGCGGAGTGAATGTTTGTTAAATCAAGTAAAAATATAACGCTCTGTTTCTTACTCAAACAGGGCTCACCATATTGGGTCATTAACTCTCCAGGACTGCAACACCAAAGGGACCAGACTGGCCGACCCGTATGCTCTCACTCAGTGGATGAAGGACTGCTGAAGGTAGGATGGCCGGCTTTGTGGTTGATTACTGTGCCAATCTTACAAAGGAGGATGTCACTTGAACAGTTTCCTCCATTTTGTTTGCTATCGAAGCCAATGTTAGCTAATGCACTAAAAAGTTAGCATTACGGAGAAATTCAATGATTTAATACCTCCCCAATTTCTCATGAGGTGGACATGATAACCCTTAATACACATAACGTTATTCATCCCTGCAACAGGAAGTACTTTTTCCCCTAACCTGATATGAAGTGCGCGCTGCACGTGAGCATTTTTGATAATCGCCTCTGTCTAGTCCTTTAGTCGCATTTAACCATAGTTGTCCTTGTCTTGTTGATGGTGGTCAACAGTGGCCACTGGTATGAGACTAAATTTAAGTTTGAGCCCTGACTTCTTCTATTCTGGCTCCCAATAACACAACAAGACAACATTTTAATACCCCTGTGTAGCCTATAGCTCTGTGGAGTCGTGTTTTGCCTCCAGCTAATAAAATGACGTTGGCGCTAAAAGGGTCTATTGTATGGCAACAATCCAGAAACTTTTATGATGTATCTTACCTACTTAGTTTAGGGTTTCATCAATTGCTGAGTGATCACTGCCGCAGGAAAGACAGATAATCTGAAACTTCTACAATAGCTAACACCGTAGCTCGTTACGTTCTACAATGGCATCATGACAATTTTTTTTTAAAAACTCCAAATAAATTACATCTTGCAAAAAGATTTTTGAGTGTTTTCGATAAGAAATACCACATGACTATCATTTTGTTATCACATCAAAATCTCCTACTTTAAATGACAGCTCTTAATCAGATCAGTCTATTAAACAATGGTTCAAATAAAAATAATAAAAAGAAATCTATCTTTTATGTCTTTACAATCTTTTTTTATATTTCGACAAAAAAGATACCTGTACTCCCTTTAATATACAACACAAATTAAAAAAAAAACAAAAAAAACACAAATTTTCTGTCATTTTATAGGAACTGTCCGCTCCTCCCACAAAAAGTTGGCACATGTTAAAAAAATTCCAATTTGATTAAATAATTAAGAAAAGTTTTCTCTCAAATTGTCAACCCCAAACCACAGGTTATTTTGGCGTGTACAGTGTCCAATCAAAAGGTAAAAAAAAAAATAAAAAAAAACAAAACACAAATGTCTCGGCAGGCATCGGTGTCGATCTGATAAATAATATTTTGAACTGTACAGGCGTGGTGGTGTCGAGGACAGAGGGTAAGTCACGATTAGGAAAAGGAAATCACTGCCTCTGATGGCACATCTCTATCTCTGCTGTATACAACAACACACACTTAAAACTCCTATGCACGCAGAATCCCTTATGCGGAAACCTCATTCACTATGCTCTCTCCGTGCGACTGCTCGAACCTTATATTCGCAGGAGAATTATTGTCTTCTTAAATATGCAGACTTCTCAGAGCATTGTGGATGCACCTTGAGCCGAGATGATGTGTAAAATTGCATTTTTAGAAGCATGCAGACTGGGAGAGGAGGCATCATGAAACAGACACATCACAAGCAGCACTGGCAGATTGTTTAAATGAAAAATCTCCATCTATTCAGCCCAGGAGTCAAGCACACTGAATCCTATTTTGCCTGGGTTCCTGTTCCGATTACTGAGCTGGTATGGCACACACACACTCGCCCAGACACAAACACACAGAGCCTAAAGCAGAGTTATGGTATTACTAAAGTAACTCGTGTTATGGTAAAAAGGGTCACTTATGCCATTAGTGCTGGGGAATTGGAGGGTGTTTGGAGACTCACTTGCTAAGACAAGCATCATGTCTTCTGTGCCCCTTAGTCGATTATTCTGGTGGTGCCCACTCTCCGTGTGGATTCGACGGTTGTTTTTAGTAGCATCTGCTTACAGTTTAGGGTAGTGAGGGGACAGGGACGCCCTGGGCATGAATATATGAATAAATAGTTCACATGAAGAAACTGTGACGGGGTCCTTACAGAGGAACAAAGCTCACAGCAAAGTTTCAACTATTTTATTCACAGACACCAAACATGTGGGGCAAGATGCATAAACTCTGAGTGGACTCACTAATACTGTGTGTTCGCACAAAGACAGTAAATGTGCATGTTTCTGTTTAATTATTCCCAATGACTGTGGAGCCCGGCGCCTCATTCCCACACCTTCAGTTCACCAATAACAGAGGGAAAAACACCCTCAAACACAATTTGCACATCGATACTTGTGCCCGCTCCACTGCTTATTAGACCTGTCAGTGAGAAATACAACAAAGAAAAGTGCAATTTCACCGACTGTGTCGCAGCGGCAGGTTTCTCCACTGGGGCCAAAGCAGCTGTCACTACGCACCACTGTGGATATTTGTGGCGTCCGTATCACTAATTCATCACATGTTCCTGCAAACCATTATCGCAGTAAAATCTTAATCATCATTATTATTAAACGTCAGAAAGATGATCAATGATTCATTTATAGCACTCATGCTGAAAGTGACTTCACAAAGAGCTGCACAATCCTGGATGAAATTAAGCGATCATTAACAGGAGGATGATGGTTTAAATGTAAATAAGAAGCGATGAAATTCATCACCTATAAATAATTTAAAACTGAATTAATAATTGCGCCTTTTATTGACGTTTTAACCTAAAAGCAATGTTATCCATCTCTTAACTTTTAGTCAACCTCCTCCTCATCTTTTCACACGCAGCGATCTGAGCTAAAACTGTGCGCCTGGTCTGACGTATATGTTCTGCCTTGCTCACACTACACGACATTCCTGTCCGTACCGATGGTCCAAGATGTCTTCTTTCACCAAGTGTGTGATGTCATCGGGTTATTCTTGCCCTATTCTTATGACTATTACTATTATTTCAGTCACTATGGCCTAATGTAAAAAAATGCCTCCAGATGGCAGGAGCTACATTTGAAGTACCGTATGCTAACTGTGCAAGTCACTGAATCCTCCACAACTTCCTGCAAATGTTTCACAATAAAAGCTTTTTAAGAAAATGAAGGGATTCTCTCAACCAAAGTTAAAATGGGCTTTTAATTTGAAACAGATACAGGACGTGTTGAGCTTGAAATGATGGCGCGATGCATTAACTTTATCAAGGCAAAAGGGAGCTGTTGTTGTAGAACAGTTGTCTACAGCAGCAGATCGTTCTGTGTTCCTATTGGTCCAATTGACGGCTGTGACGGTAGAAGTTGTGAACGCCAAAAAGAAAATCAAACATGCTAGACTTTCTCTTGGAACATCGTGAGGCATCCCAGATGTGGCGTCGGTTGTTGTTAACTATGACACACTAAACAAGATGAAACGATGGATTATCACGTACGACGCTGCGTCGGGCTATAATCGGGCTATAATCGGGCTGATATCGTGTAGTGTGAACTCGGCATGAAGGTACACACAGTCTCACTGCACATTCCTTCCACTATCAACACCATAGTGAGTGTGTATGCATCATTTATCCATCTGGCCCCTGGTGTTTGTTTTGATGCTGAAAGCTTCATCATTATGAATAAAATACATTCTACAATATAAATTTACCCACTGAAATCTCAGCTGGTATTTTTGAAGCTGCTTAGCCCTGTTAATATTAAATATGTATTTTTAAAATGTTATATTGTTGAACAAAATGTGTCTTAGTTTTCCTACAGAGCTTATTTTTATTTATGTATTTTTTGAAAACGGGGGAAAAGTAGAGTAAGTTGAGTTTTCACCCTTGGTCTCCAACACAAGTAACATCTGGACATCTTTTCAGAGCCTTCATATTTAAAAAACAAAATACACAGATTAATATTGAAAACATTGTAATACCTCTGTACAGCCAAGCTTCCCCCACTGGAAACCTGTGCGACCGCAGGAAAGGTCAAAGGGTCGTGTTCGCTCCTCTCGGCAGTTATATGCATTTAGAAATGTGTCAGTCTCTCATGTTAACAGCAAAAGCAACCTTGGGACAGAGATCAGCACCCAGAGGCATCGGTTAGATATTACACAACTAAAAATAAAATGCATCCTGTCAAAATGGAGATTACAGTTTCAGGATCCATGAGTCACATGCTCTGAAATATCGGCGCAGACAGGGGGCCGGCTCTTTGTGGCTTTGTGGGATATGTAATGAAATGAAATGATTCATGTGGACTCTTTGTAAAGTAAAAACTGTCTTCATGTTGGTTGAAAGAGAAACTGACAGGGAAAAAAAAAAAAAAACATGCTCAGCAACCACTCCCTCTTCCGTGAAGAGTTCAGTGACTTGTTGAAGAAAGCGTCGGCAGATTGTTGGCTTGCCAACGTGAGCGTTGAATCCCCGTCTTGCATTTAAAGGACAGCTGGCCCACTGCCCCTGTGCTGAATGCGGTATGTGTGTGGTATGTTTTTGAGCACGATGAAGCGTACGCTATGGTGCAGTCCTTCTCGGCATAACGTCTATTTTCAAAACACTGCATGTTTCATGTCAAAACTGTGTGTGAACTTCAGTATTTTGATTTTTATAAAGGATTAGTAGAAGCCTCAGACTCGCAAGAATCAAAATGGATTTCCAAGCAAAGAAAAGCGTTCTTTAAAAACAGCAGCAGCCTTAAAAATTTAATTTTTTTTCTTCTCTTTTTGTAAATCAAAACCATGGAGAGAGAACGTGAACATTTGGAGTGATGAGAAAGTGTTGAATAAATATGTAAGGCGTCAGATGACCAGCTTGAAAATTCAATGTCTCTGTGTGATGTACTGTAGATGCTTCAGTTCTGTGTGGATTCTTTAGGCTGTTTTGTTTCGTACTTGGTGCTGTGTGTGTGTGTGTGTGTGTGTGTGTGAGCACGCTACAGTCAGGGGTGGTCCGTCCCTCCTTCAGATGTCTTCCAGGTCTCCACCCAGCAGGCCTCTTTGGCACTTATCTAGCGTCTTGTGGTAGGCGCGGGCGATCATCGAGCTTGGTGATTTGCGTTGTGGCGTGAACGAGACCTTTCCAGGACTGCGCGGCGGTTGTCTGTTCAGAAAAACATAAAAAAGAAAAGAGAAACAACAGAGAATGAGAAGCAGAGAGTGAGACTGAGAAAGAACAAGAAAGTGTTGTTACATTGATCCATACTGGCACGCAGGAGCTCGACTGAATGAAAGATTGTATAGAGAAACTAAGGGAGGCAGAGAAAAGAGATGGCGGAGGAGAGAAGAAACAACATGAAGCAAATCCAGGCTGATTGAAAACTGAGCAGCAGGGGAGGACCAAGAAACAGAAGAAGCTGCTGGAATTGAGGTGCTTGTGTCTGGTGTCATAGTAACTCCATTCAGCTCCTGATCCAGGCCTCCACTCAAGAGCCTCTCAACTCCTCTCAGAAGCAGCGTATGCACAGGAAACAAAGTAACGACATACATACACACACACACGCACGCACACAAACAGTTAAACAAGTGGGGCCAGAGGAGCAGTGCGACCGCTTCAGGGTGTCTGCGAGATCTTAACAGCCATTAATAGCTGATGAATCAATTAAGCAACAAGAAAGCTATTGAGAAGTATAAGTAAGTCTTGAAGGCCATTTTCCCAGGTATAATATTTTGTAGCTTGTTTTCAATGTGTATATTTGTCCAAAGAGGTTGTACACTAATGTTCAATTTAGTTTAATGAAGTGTAGACATGTAGTGGGGCTCTGTGTGGTGTATTTATGGAACCGTGCAGAATCTGACATCATCTAAAATCATCATCATCATCATCATCATCTTGAATTAGAAAACAGAAAAAAGTACAAAAAAGTCCTAGGATTGCATACGGACATACTCCCCTCAGACTTTTTTTTTTTTTAACAGTTTTTAGTGACATACAATACCATACTCTTTCTTGACTATACTATGACTTTTTTATTTCTATGACATACTATACTGTGCCATCATTGCATTCGGGCGATTGGTCGGAGTTTTCTTCTGTCCTGTCTGTCTTCCCCACGTGGAGGGGAAGATAGACAGACATATGTTGCACAAATTGTTTTTAAATGTTTTGTTTCTTTTTTCTTGGGGTATGTGAAATGTCAGTTCGTTTTTGTGCTGGGCATAAAAATGACAAGCAAAGAAGTTCAGTTCAGTTCATAACTTTATATATGACAACACAGCATCCAGTTGCTAATGGTTAACATTAGCCTACTGTAGCGTAGCCTCTGAAACATTAACGTTATCTTCCTTGTGTGTTTTCACTTACTAGTAACGTTAAGGCTACTATCTAACTTTAGCACTGTAACCTTATTCTAAAACTCATCAGTCATCACTATAACTATAATATTACTTTCAATAATGTTGTTGTAAGCTACTGTCATTACCTGCATCTCTCTCTCTGTCTCTCTCTCTCTCTGTCTCATTGTGTCATACGGATTACTGTTAATTTATTATGCTGATCTGTTCTGTACGTCATCTATTGCACGTCTGTCCGTCCTGGAAGAGGGATCCCTTCTCAGTTGCTCTTCCTGAGGTTTCTACCGTTTTTTTTTTTTCCCCCGTTAAAGGGTTTTTTTTTTTGGGGAGTTCTTCCTTATCCGCTGCGAGGGTCATAAGGACAGAGGGATGTCGTATGCTGTAAAGCCCTGTGAGGCAAATTGTGATTTGTGATATTGGGCTTTATAAATAAAATTGATTGAATTGATTGAGTGACTCTGGTTGAGTTTTAAAACTCCGGGGTTGCGTTTGACTGTCTTGGTGGTAACGTTATACTTATACGTTATACTCTCCTCTTCCGTTTATCTAACGTTACCTTGCCAACGCCCACGTGTATCATAGATGTAATGAGGACGTAATGGAGGAGGGGGGAGTAGGCCGTTGGAGGGAGGTGGAGTTGCAGGAGGAGGGGGGTGGGACTTTGGAGGGAGGCAGGAGAATGGTAAGGTTTGCTTTTATGGTGTAATATACATACTAATATAGTATTTACATTTTCATTATATACAGTTTTTTTTTTTATGACATTACTTATGTCATTTTAATTTCCTTATTGTGTACTGTATTTTAAATGGCATACTAATATGACTTCTTTTTTTTTTAATTTTGGGGACGTATACTATACTTTGATTTTTTTGTACATTTTTGTATGACACTATCCTATGACATACATATTAGACATTATGTCATGCTATATTATTTTTTTATGACAGACTTTACAATGACTTTTTCTTCTCACATTTTTATGACACTATACTGTGACATTTAATTAACATATCTGATGATATATTATGCTATTTTCGTATGATGTACTGCACTATGATTATTTTAAGGAATTTTTTGTGATACTATAATTTTTTCTGACATACTATACAATTACATTGTTTATTTATGACATGGTGTTCTATAACCTTTTTTTTTTAACCTTTTCATGACATTTTTTACAAAGTTTTCTGACTTACTTTACTATTACTTATTTTTACGTTTTTTGGGGGGCGTTTTGCCTTTAATGGACAGGACAGTGTGTGAAATGGGGGAGAGAGAGAGTGGGGGGACAACATGCAGCAGAGGGTTGCAAGCCGGAGTTGAGCTTGCGACCACTGCAGCGAGGCATCACCTTTTCATTTGTTATCACCTCTATACACTACGCTACTGAAGCCCCATTTATTTTTACATTTTTACTGACATTCTATGACACAGTTTACAGTAACTTCTTTTTAAATGGCATACTACACTATACAGATTCTTCGACACTTTTGTGATACACTATTCTATGACAGTTTTTTTGACATATTCTGACATGGCCCAATCTGGTGGGGGAGAGTTCAGTCCGCACAGACGTCCCCCCTTGGCTCTGCCTTCCCTGTGCTCTTTCTTACTTTTCTATCTACTATTGCCCTTTCCTTACTTTTCTATCCATCTAACCCTTTGGCTCCTACTCGGACCCCCAGACGGCACTATCACTCCCACTCATAGTCTCAAGTTTGTGCATCAGGGATTGTAACTTCTAGTCCTAAATTTATAAATATACTTTTGAGTGAAATTTAGTAGACTGCAAAAATAATCAATCATTGAAAGTGGCAAACAACCCAAATAAATAAGGTTTTACTGCAAGTTTAAATTTCTCGCCTTATGTTTCATGTCAACCTTATTTCACCTGAAGCTAAATCTGTGTGTGGGCCTGAGGTTTGCACGTTTTCACCACATATTGTTCTTTTATAATTACCAGTTTATATATGTGGGAAATGGCGCGTGCACAGTTTTTGTGTGTTGGAATTGTTTATACATCTGGTTCCTGATCTATATTGTGCATTTATGTGCACATGCAACGATGAGTATTTGTTAAGAAGGAGCTCCGACATGATATCACACCCGTGAAGCTAACTAAAGTTCTAGATATTACATTTTTATTAAAGTTTGTCTGAATAATGGTCATGCAAGTACATGAAGTGAAACTCTATACCTGCCATTACATACACATAAAAGCCAATAACATACAGAATCTGTGTGTGTGTTTTGTGTGTTTAAGGGGAACAAGATTGTGTTTGTAGCTGTCTGATATTACACTTTCTAATAAAGTTTGCATTGGAATAGCCACTGAATTTATTCTCTTGTGTTTTGTACCCTCCCTGTCTATTTGTATTATGTTGCACTGACAGTTTAGTTGTGCTTTTTACAGTCAATATAACGGAAATGTAAGTTTAAGTGTGTTGTTGATGTCACTGGTCTAACAATGTATGAAAAGGTTCATAAAAGGTATTCAATTTTACGTCAGAATTACTTTACAGTACATACAAAGCACGGACAGGCAATGAACAACTGAAGACTTGTTTGTGTTATATAGTCATTCAGAATGATTCTTTGTGAGATTAAACTTGTTAGCATATGAACCTCTGATTTGAGAAAGCAGGTAAAATTAAATCACAAGTGAAAATAAAAGTGTAAAGTGGCTGCTATACACCTGGTGATTAGTGGCAGTGATTGTTTCACCACAGTCTTTGTGGTCACAAAGCACTTTGGGTTTTCTCAGTTGCCAGTTTACGACAGAGTCATACAAACACTGCCTCCCATGCTATCCAACCATGTCTGCCCAGAAATGCCCATGGCTTCCGCCGGGCAGCCAGGTGGCAGGTGGGGCTGGACAGAACCAGGAAGCATAGCCATGGAGATGACTGCAGGCACACCCACACAGGACTCCCTGGTGTTTCCAAGCGTGCCGCCACCACTATGCCCATTACTCAGTGCCAGCTGTAGGGTGCCAGGCGTCCCGGGCTGGGCGTTGTTTAATGGCACTCGCTCCATCCATCATGTCAGGTAATGAGCTGAGAGTGACTGTGATGGCTAGGAACACATACACAAACTCGTGCACACACACACACGCAGACTCCCATCATCACAGTGGAGAACAGAAAGCACTCCTTCAGATTGGATACAAAGCATCATGCAGATGGTGCACAGGAGGAGAGAGGGAGAAAGAGGGAGGGAAGGAACAGAGAGAGGGAAGGGAAGACAGATCGAGGCGGATGAAAGGTTCTGTATTCTCCGCTTTTTTTCAGTTAAGGTAATATGCAGGAGGTGATCGTCGCCGCTAACATGTTCCGGCAGCGTGTCAAAAAACATCATCACTACTTATCCATGCACTCATTTTTAAATCCACAGGTTGTGCTTCAGTCTGTAAACAGGACTTATACAACCTCCCTCCTTTCAAAACAAACATTCACACCACACAAAAAAGAACGGGGACAGAATTGAGGAAAGGAGAAAAAAAAAAAAAAAGTAGATCATACACTATCCATCCCTGCCAATCATTTGCAAGTCCAATTGCTGTAACCTCATTTCTGGGCAAGCAGCCCCCGTTAACCCTCAGTCTATCAGAGGAGCATAGAAAACAGCTGGGAGAATACAGGCCCTCTGTCTGTAATGCAGGACCATCCTGGGCTACATCTATTACTGTAAATAGGATGGAGAAAAAAAGCACAGAGGATCAAAGGGACGACTATATAAAAAAGAAAGCACATAAATGAATTGGGAGACAAGAGGAATCATAAAAGAAAAACTGGAACAATCCACAAA